GATTGCACTAAGGAACTGAGGTGGACACTATATTAAGCATTTTCATGTCTGGGTTAATCCACAGGGTGTTATTCTATTCACAATTTAATGCATAATGAGGAAGTTATATCTTTCAGCACGTTTGAACTCTGAAACCACTGATAGGATTTTCACATGTGGTTTGGGGGTTTACATTAAAACTTGTTGAATTAATGTAATTTTGTGGTGAGATATAATTTTTGTTTATATTAGATTTAAACCATATATTAAATGAAATTCAAACTAAACGTCCATTTTTTAAGAAATGCTTTATTATGCAAAACAGATTTGTAGCTAGTGTAACATTTAAAGCCTCTCTACAACAGGTGTTCTCAGCATTTTAAGTCTTCAGGCCAAATTTGCTACTTACAGACTTGACGGCTGCCAAGTTATCCCTTTAAAACTGGAGCTTATTAAAATAATATTCAAGAATTCATTTCTTGCCTCAAAGTAAACATAGTACTTTACCATTACAAAGATCAGTTTGTTAATGTTGTTTGAAGAGATAATCACTTTTTACACTAAGTGACATATAAGACCTATAAGTACAAAATGTATTGATTGTCAAAGCAGGTTCTCAATGGGTTTGAAAGAGGTAGAAATGAGGACAAGTTATTGAAACTTTATAGATGTTAATTATAAACATTTATTATTGTAGCATACATGTTTACATATTACACAATACGAGGTATGGCACAAAAATAACGAGACTGATGCTGTAACTAGGCAACCAATAATAGTGAGGGCAAAATAATGAGACTGTATTTGACCTTGATCTATCGTCTACCAGTGATGCAAGTTTCATCTTGATTGGTGTACTCAATAGTAGTGGACAAGTGTTTCTGTACAGACATGTTTTTATGCTTGGTCGGAAAATACCAGATTGTAACTTGGAACAACGCGTGAACATTAAGTTTTTCGTTAAGCATAAGAAATCTGCAATGGACACTTTTCAGTTATTGACTGAGGCTTACACTGAAGATTGTATGTCTTGTGCACATGTGTTTGAATGGCACAAATGATTTTTGGAAGGCAGCGAAAGCGTGGAAGATGATGAGCGCCCAGGCCATCCAAGCACGTCAATTACCGATAATAACATTGAAAAAGTGTGAGATGTGATTCGAAAAGACCATAGGTTAGGTGTTTGAGCAGTTCGAGTTAATTTAGAGAAAAATGTTTTCTTAAAAATCTTCCTGAAATGTTGTCAGTTGAACAAAAAGAAGTTGAGAGGATATTTGTTGTGACCTCTTGCAATGCATTGAGGGCCAACTGGATTTGTTGAAATTATTATGAAAATTATTAAAATAATTACTTGTGATGAGACTTGGATATTTCAGTGTGATCCAGAAACTAAGTGGCAGTCCACGCACTGTAAGTCACAATCCTCTCCAAGAGCAAGAAAGTACAGATGAGCTGTTTGAAGTTCAAAGCCATGTTAAATGTTTTCTTTGATATCAAGAGTGTTGTGATGGCAGAGTGGGTTTCCAGTGGCCAGATGGTAAATCAGCAATATTACATTGAAGTATTGACAGAATTGAGCAAGCGAGTGAGAGAAAAACATCCAGAGTCGTGGAAAAACGAGTGGATTTTGGACCAGGATAACGTGCCAGCCCACACAGCTTTGTGAAGGAGTTTTTAACCAATAAGAACATAACTGTGCTTGACCATCCCTCCTATTCACCAGACCTGGCTCCCTGTTACTTCTTTCTCTTCCCCAAGATAGAAACCTTGCTCAAAGGGACCCATTTTGAGATGGTAGAAGAGGTGAAGGCATAAACAACGGAGCCACTGAACAGCCTTACAAGAAAATGGTCTACAGCTCTGCTTCCAACAGTGGCAGCATCATATGCGGCTGTGTGTCAACTCCGAAGGGAACTATTTCGAGGGAGAACAAAGTTAATTTTTGTAATTATGTAAATGAAAAGAGTTACAGCATCAGTCTCATTCTTGTGTCAGAATTCATATACTGTATTTACCTGAATATAAGATGACAATTTTTTCCTAATTTATTATCAAAAAATGGGGGTGTCTTATAGTCACGCATAAAATTTTATAAATAGGGCGAATATTTCTGTTATTAGTAGTACTGTGAATATCTTTTTAGGCTGGGTAGTACAGCTGTTTCATTGTGTTTTTTGATCACAGGACATCATGTATGGCAACATCCATCAATAGAGGAATACTTTTTTCGTTTAAAACCATTGCACTCATTGGTAACCTCTATAAAGCCTTGCCTGTAGTTGTTGATATGTAATAGGTTTTACAGTCCATCGTGTTACCCACTTTTACACTGCCAGGCCCTTTTATAGCCTGGGAAATTAAGTTTCATTGAAACACCATTGTACCTTAGTAACATTGCTATTTTAACTCTGATCCCACTGGCAGCTCCCTGTACAGTCTTGCCTGCCTGTTATGATGCACCCTCTAAACCCACAAACAAACAACAAATCAACCAAAAATTATTTATTTACTTATTTATTATTAGTTTCCTGGTCACAGTGGCCTCACATTCTGAGGTGTGGGCCTCGTGCACTTAGACACTGGGACTGCGGGTTTAAATCGCACTGAGGCCATGGATCTTTGTTCACGTCTCTCTGCGTTGTGCTGCTCTGCGTACACGTAGAGGCCTTTTGACGGGCTGATCATTCATCCAAGTCCTACCAAATGTCTAAATAGTTTAAGTAACCTCCAAAAGAGATGGCCAAGACCCACACTGGGTTGTAGAACCACAGATGATGATGATGATGATTTATTATAGTCTATTTATTTATGTTTTCAGTATCTACACTATATAGTGTGGGATGAGACAATGACAATGAATAATGAATTGCAAATGATGTGGAGTGAAGCAGTTGTGGCCTAATTTTAGGTACTATCCTGGCACTTCCCTTGAGGGTCTGAGGAAAACCATGAGAAATCTCAGTCTCTGGGCCAAGATTTGAACCCTGCAGCTTATGAATATGAAGTGGGAAAGCTCAACTGCAACGTTCAGTCCATCCAAAAATGTTCTTGCAACTATGTGTACGATGCATCAGCAGTATCAGCCTGGTGGCAGAGGTGTCAGCAAAACTATCACCATTTAATATACTACCCTGAAATATTGTGAATATAACTTGGTTTTGGTGCCATATATTGTTGCAGGCAGTGTCTGTTGCTGGGTGTGAATACTGTGACGCGTGGTTTGGAGTCTTCGTTGGTTGGCTGTGTGCTTCTTGCTCACGATGCAGACCCAAGGATGCTCATAAGCCACATCCCCATTATGTGTGCTATGCAGGGTGTTCCCGTTCTCATCATGTCTTCTCTGCGATCGATTGTCAATACCACACTTGGCTTCTCCTGTTTAGCTCTTGGTATCAAAGTACGTAGAGTCATTTTAACAATGTATGATATGATTCACCTTCTACGTGCCATGTGTTAGTAACGTATATCTTGGTTGCTGATTTGATAAGAGGAGCAGCTGCTCAGTGAAAAATGCCTTGTTTCTTTTTGAACTGGGGCTTAGTAGTTGTATTAACATTTTGAAACATATAAAACAAATCAATTTTGTACACTCCTTTAACCCCCAACAAGTCTTATATCCTTAATATGTAAATAATTGTGTATTATGTACAGTATCATACCATATTCACACCCTATGTGGGCAAGCATGCTGCTACCAAATTATGTTGAAGTCTGTGTTAAGGGATCTTTCAGCAGGTGATAATTAACTTCTTGGCTCCTCTTATCAGAATTTATACAGTGCTTAGTGCCAGTGTTCAGATAAGTATACATTTCAAATTAAACATCAAACAAATTCCCTATCTGGGAATATAGACTGCTGCCATTATCATAGTTTCTAGTGGGTGGGTGTTTACAGAGGGATGATGGTTCAAGCCAAGGAACTTTATAAAGCAAACTAGAATTCTTCCGGCAGTTCCAACCTGTTGCAAAGAACAGGCTGGTATTTTTAAAACCACAAAATATTACTTGATTTAATTTACAGTTAAGACGTTAAAGCACAGAGTACTGTCTGTAATGTAAAAATTGTGTCACAGAGATCAGCTGTGGAGTCAGAGGGCGGCCATTTCCACACAGTCTTCAAGACAGTAATGGAGCTGTGTAAGACGATACCTGTGCCAGAGCCCCTTCCTGCCTTCTGCTATGCCTTGTCGCATGGTCCAACTGATGATCAGGCAGAAAAATCATCAGACCCACAGCCTACTGAAGTGAAAGTTAGTGCAGATGTCTACAAATATCGCAGCTCAAGGAAGGAGCGCGCATTTGTGCCAAGATTGCCTTCTTCTTCTCTTCAGCCATCTGTGGACTTCCTGTCCCTTGATATGGGTACTGATACCGTCTCCAACAAGGTGATATTGGGTACGTGCGTCAGAAAATTTGTGGATGAGCCAATGGATGTGCAGGACAAAGGCACCCAGATAATGTGTAGGCAACCACAGTTTCAGTATCAGCCACTGAGACTGAAGCAAGCAGTGCCCAATCCCAAGAAGATAAGAAAGAAGGAAATAAAGAAAAGAAGAAAGTGACTCTGTGGTATTTGTCAATCAGCATAAAGATGGCAGCCTTTTAGGATATTGGACTGTGTAGTCTCATGTAACTTGGCTCAATAAGTTACTCATCACCCTGTTGAAAGAGGCAGTATGCACCTCTGAAATATCAGTCAACTTTTATGAGACTGCATGACACACTATCCCAAAAGGCTGTTATTTTCATAATCACCATGTGAGAACCTGAAATATCTAACTAACTAACTAGATGGCTTACTGAACGCAAAGGTTCATCACCGAATTAACCAAAGCCCTCCACTGGACTCTGTCCTGGGAAAACAAAATCCAGTCTCCTTCAACTCCTATCTCCCATAGATCCCATATGAGAGTATCCTCCCATCTACATCTAGGTCTCCCCAGCAGTCTCTTCCCCGCAGGCTTCCCAACCAACACCTGGTGCACACCTCTTGCCCCATCTATTCATGTAACATGCCCTGCCCATCTCATTCTTCTTGACTTAATCACCCTGTCAATACTGTGGGAGGAGTACAAATTTTTAATTTTGTCATTATATAGTTTTCTCCATGCCCCATCATATTCTCTCCTAGGCCCAAATATCCTCCTCAACACCCTGTTCTCAAACACCTGCAATCTGTGTTCCTCCCTCAGAATGAAATACCATGTTTCACACCCATACAAAACAACAGGAAAAATTATTGTTTTGTATATTTTAATCTTTGGGTTCTGATAAATCAGACAGGAAGACAAAACTGAGAAGTAGCAAGCATTTCCGGAATTTAGTCTCCTCCTAACTTCCTCATGAATATCATTTTGATTTGTTATTGTTGTTCCCAAATATTGTAACTGTGTAACACTTTCAAAGGATTTATTAGCCACCCTAAGACAATTTTGCCTGACATGTCTCCAGACGATATACTAACATGTACTTAGTTTTTCTGACTTTACTTCTAGCCCCACCTGTCTACTAGCCTCTAGTAAAACTTCTGTGTTCCTCTTTATTGTATTTATATCGTCCCCCAATAAATTAACATCATCAGCATATGCCAATAGCTGATGTGTCCCATTCAATTGCAAACCCTCCTGCCTATCTTGGACTTTACTGATGGCGTATTCTAGCGCAAAGTTAAAGAGCAACTGAGGCAAAGCATCTGCTTGTTTCAGACCGTTCTCGATGGAAAATTATTCAGATAAATATTTACCTATATGAATTGTGCTACAAGTTTCATTTAATCACATTTTTATTAGATTCACTAATTTCTCTGGTATAGCAATTTCAATTAGAATATTTTATAGCACTTCTCTCTTCACAGAGTTATAGGCTTTTTTGAAATCTGTAAATAATTGATGTACTGAACTCCCATTTTTTCTCTAGTACCTGACATATGCAAAAGATCTGATCAATTGTTGATCTGTTTCGTCTGAACCCACACTGATGATCCCCAATAATTTAATTCACATGTGGAGTTAATCTTGCCAGAAGAATGTTTGATAGAATTTTGTATGAGGTTGATAGAAGAGACATTTTTTCTGTAATTACCACACTCAGTATTGTCCCCCTTCTTATGAATAGGAATAATTATGGATTCCTTCCATTGTTGTGGCATCTCTTCCTTATCCCAAATTAACTGAATAAGCTTATGGATCCTCATATGCAACCCTTTGCCACCTGCTTTAATTAATTCGGCCGGAATCTGATCAATTCCTGGAGATTTATAACTTTTCAACTTCCCTATGGCCAATTAACTTAATCTAAAAAGGTTCTGGCACTAACAGTTCAGCCATCTGCATTTTAATCTGTGTAACATCATCAGTCTCATGAACATTTAAGAGCTGGCTAGCAAAATTTTTGCACCTATTCACAGTTTTTATTGGGTCTGCAAGCAAATTGCCATTATCATCCTTAACCTGAAACATCAGTCAGCATAAAATCGAGATAACATTTGAAGCTTTCATGATGATTGAATGCTTTGAACTCTTTTCACCCTGACACCCAAGTAAGTATGTAGACAATCCATTATTTTGAAATCTCTGAAAATTGCTGGATTGTAACTCCATGCATGAGAAGAATAAATTCCACTTCCATGACAGACTTTCTGCAGTATATTGTAAATGCATCCTTAATAATCTCTCAAGAGCCCTGTGTCATACTAATTACTAATGATCATAATAATGAAAGTCAAAATGCAGGTGAGTGAGATGGAAGCTACAAGTTATGCCACGTTTGTAGGTATTGAGCATGAGAGATGCATTTGTGAATATTGTTAAGTGAATGGGGTTCCCATAATTTCATTCTGTGGTGTTAGCAAAAGCATTTTGTTTTATATATATATATATGTGATATTTGGTCCCTTTTGTCAGTTTTGCAAAAGATACTCTTTTACGTCATCCAGCACATTTCAGGGTGAAGATGATTGTCTTCTGGGATATTACACCATGTAATCTTGTAGAAATTTACTAATGTTTCTGGGGTGCTTGCTGCCTTCATGATGGAGGTGTAAACTCCTCTGAAAAATTGGTCAGTTTCTGTGTGATGACATGCTGCAGCATCCCAGAAGACACATTGTCCTCAAACTTCCTGCAGTGAGAACTTGAAATCTCTTCATATTTAAGGTCCAGTTTAATATCCTGTCTATTTCTGTGTGTCCCTTAAATACCATGAAGAACATAGAAATGCTGTTACAGAACCAGGGAAATATAGAGCAAATTTGTTCCACTTTCCCGTCATAACATGTTTACCCCGGTCAGTCAATTTGCTACTTTCCATGGGATTATCATAGCATTTTGTGTTTTGACATGTGTGCATTTTTCAATGTCATAGATGTCAAACTTTCAGAATTTCTGAAAGTTACTGGCCTTATCAATATGATTTTTACTTTGGCACTACCTACAATTTTATATGGCAGTGAAAACTGGACATTGAAAAGGAAGGACAAAAACAGAATTACAGCTGCCGGGAAGAAATTTATGGGACGTACTGCAAAGTACACTTGGATGGACTATGAAACTGCAAAAGAGGCTTTCGGACTACGAGGCCGGAACGGGTAAGTCCTTGATGATGATCAATTAATAACATTTACCAACATATTATAAATATTACTGAAACGAATCACTTGTGTAATATATCAATCCACATGTATTAATAATTTAGACCAGCAATTATTTTGCAGGCATGTACTGTATATTGGTATCTGTGTTGTGAAGATGATCTATGTTGGCGTATAATTTGTCAAACTATCTAGCTCACATTCAGAAAGAGTTGAAGATTCGGGCGCGCGGCTATGTCGTTTGAGTGTCAGGTATCGCCACAGATGGCGAAGGATGAACGTCATCTAGTAACGGAACATTAAACTATGTTATTGATTGACGAAAGAAACGGGCGTGTCCGTTTGTGAACGGTAATTGTGTTTATGAAGTTGTCAGTGTGTGGTGATAGAAGGGAGTTTGACATTTTTGTGTGATTGAAACAGTGGTGGTCAAATTATGGAAGACGTAGAACGAGAGGATTTATTAATCCGTGCCAGTAGTGGTATTGAACTAACGGATAATGAAGATTCATTTGATGGCACAAAAGGCAGTGTGCTTGGTGAAAATAAGACTAATTCTTTTTATGACAAAGTGCAGTTTATTTGCATTGGCCTTTTATTATGCTGTTCTTCGACAGCCATAATAATTTTGTTACCCCTCTATTTGGAGGCTGTGGATTTTCATGGCGATGCATATACAGCCATTATTTTCACATGTTTCTCAACAACTTTGGGGTTATTTGTTGTGTCGTGTATAGCTGGAAGATTGAGAAATGGCCTGAGATCAAGTTTAATGCCACCATTTGCATTTTCATTCGTTCTTCGCACCGGCGTAATCTATGGATTAAGTTGCTTTCTGGTGATATATTCCCTTGAAAGGAAGAAAGTCGTATGCCACCTGCAGGATCCCATCAAGATGATTGTACTTATCTTTTCACTGTTCTATTATTTCTTCTTTTGCAGGAAAAGTATGTATAATGTGTAGTTCTAATGTATGTTTTATAGAGATTAACCTTATTTTCTAGTTAAGGTGTTATCCATCAAACACAACTCTAAATATAGGATTTGAGGATCTCACGACAGTAATATGATGATGGCTTTCTGCTGGGTCATGGTCATGGTCATGGTCTTGTAGAAACAACAATGTTTTAGAGGTACTTGCTGTTTCCATCACTCATCACACTAATACTGGAGGCAGCAAGTATGTCTGAAACACTGGTAAACTTCTGCCAGACTGCACAGCACTACAAAAAGTAACACATCCATCTTCACAGCTCTTTATAGAATAGAATAGAATTTATATACATTCCAAAGAGTCTTTATAACACCAAAGCCTGACACCGGCCATGATCCTTATCCAAACCCCATCCATTTACCATCCTCATGGCCCACCTCCCTAAGATCCAGCTTGATATTATCCTCCAATCTCCTTCTTGGTCTGTCCAGTGGTTATTTTCTACAAGGATTCCTTAAAAAAATTCTTTGCCTTCCCCCCTGCGTGCGACATGTCCACCCCATTGTATCCTCCTAGATTGTACAATCCATTCCCATCCAACATGATTACCAGAACCTCCTTCATTGCCTTTTCTCAAAATTCTGTCACCTTCTTTTCTTACCCACATGATTCTTTCCCATTGGATAGCAAATTGCCATTGTCATCCTTTACTAAATTAGTCTGAGGTTGATATCCTTTCTTAAAATTATTAATGCCTCTGTACTGGTCTCTGATATTTTTTTCCTTATTGTTTGTCTCAATCTCAATAATTTTGCCCTTCAGGTATTCCCTTTTCTTATTCCTAAAGGTACTACTAGCTTCACAACTCATGTTACACAGATTATTCATATTTGTTTTACTTGGGTCCTGCAACCATTGAAATTTTGTTTGCTTCCTACGATCTATTAATTTTGAACATTAATTAATCATCAATTTTCAGAGATCTTTAGTGATTACATTTTTTGTTGATTGCAGTGATGAGTCTCGAGAAGATTTTATGGTCTTCACTCGTCATTATTGGGCTGTTTATCACTGTTGACTATGGCCTGTGTGATGAGTTCCTTTGCCGTGGCAATGAGCGCAAGAACAGGAATGAGGATGCTGGGGACTGGAGCTGGCAGAGTCACGTGGTGTGGACATTGGTATACGTTGTGGCACTTGCACTGTGGAGCCTCACTTATACGTTGTTGGAAGGACATCTGCTAATGTCTGGGGTAACACTCTAGTTTTTTACAGAATAGATTGATGCACTAACACAGCTCTTGCTTTCTTTTGTAGAAATACATAATGAGGGACTTAATAATTTAGTTTCTGCTGTAATAGGACAGAGATTGGTATCATGTGTCATTTATTCACATATTCAGTGTAGTTTAAGACTAGATATATGGCTAAATAAATCATAACAGGTATCAGAGAAATACTTCTTTCTGCAATTGGTGTGATTTTCTATGAGTTTTCTGAAGGTGTTATTGAAAGGATTTATTGTTTGATAGTTTTACAATTGGTAACACAGTAAGATTTGAGGTTTTCATGGTGGTGAGTCTGAAGGTGGCTGCCTTCTGGGTTGTTGCACCATGTAATCTTGTAGAAGTTTACTGACATTCCAGAGGTCCTTGCTGCCTCCATCACACAGACTATACGGCGCAACAACCCAGAAGACGGCCATCTTCTGGTAACGTAGTTGTTTTCATGCCATGTTTCAATCAAGTGTACTTTTCGTCATGGACTTGCTGTTCATAACATTGCACAGCAGAAAGGGCTCGTAAAAAAGCACATGCAAATGTACACACATTGTATATGTAATATGGGCATCTAAGTCAATGTGTCAGGCTTTTGCAGATGAATGTATAAAAGTTGTGCTCTTAAAACTATAAATTAAATTGGATACACAAATGTTCATGAGTTGGCATAGCTTGGTCAGTATAGTGAATGGCTATGGACTGGACGACTGGGGTTCAATCCCCGACGGGGGCAGAGGATTTTACCTTTAGCCATACTGGTTTTGGGGCTCACCCACACTTCTGTCCAGTGCGTATCGGGGTCCTTTACTGGTGGTAGAGCGCAGTCGGGGCGTGATGCTGACCACTCACCCCCTTCTAGTGCCAAGGTCAAGAATGAGTAGGAGCTATATTTTCAATTCCCCCAAGCATCTACATGGCATATAGTGGGACAGCTTTACTTTACTTAAATTTTCATGGAATACGAGGCAAGTTAAAGCAAAAATATGCATTGTATTTAAAGAAAGCCTTAATATTATTTTAAGAGAATGAATGATTAAAAGAATGTTCTTCTCTAGGAAATGTTTTTTGTCTCCATGTAAGATTTTGAATTTTTGTATATAGAGACTGTTGTATAGAGACATAAGTGAATTTAAGAAGGGGTACAAATCTAGGAAACGTTTGATCAAGGACGAGAATGGGGATCTGTTAGCTGACTCACATGGCATCATAAGCAAATGGAAAGTAATATAAGTAATGTAGTTTGCCGGTAACATACATATATATCACAAAGGGAAACATGTTAGATGCTAGTAAGGAAGTTGGTATAGAAGTAAATGCATAGTAAACCAAATATTTATTAATGTTTTGTTACTAGACAAGCGGTAAAATTCATATAAATCCTTTGAACTTGTAGCACATTTCAAATATTTGGGAATGATGTTAACAAATCAGAATTTCATTTACAGACCAGTGGCAGGGTCTTAGGATCACGATAATAAACCTTCGCTTTCCATGAGCGGCATATACTTTCTTGACTAGCTGAGTGACTGTTAGCTTATCAAGGACTCTGCTCCATGGAGTTGCTTGGGTGGTGTTTAACTTGAGGTTTTATAACAACATGAAATTTATTGATCAGCTGAACAGCTATTAAATGTTGAAGGAATACCTTGTACCCTGTAATTGGTACTGTGATCCACAGGACTTTACATATGTAGGGCCAGGATGTTCTCGCCTGCTCACTGTGTCCCGGTTAGTTTCTACAAGAGATATTCACTCTCATTCAACCACATGTCATTCATGTCCACTTTTGAATAACACAGATGAGAGCCAAGGGATTTCTTCAGAGCAGGAACAGTGCACCAGCTCACCCACGAGACAACGTAGGTCAGTATCAATCAGTTCAGAAAAACATATATATATATGTTTTGGAAAACTGCTTCTTGACGCATACCCACTCATTCACAGGCAGATCACATACGTAAGTCAACAGGACTCTGACTCCGACGTCAGGCCAAAAGCTCTGCCTATAGCATTATGGCTGCATCTCATCACACTGGTGGTGGCTTTGGCTTTGTGCTGGACTGATATGATTTCTGTATTGGGGAAGGTAAAATAGATTTGCATTCAGTTGTGCTTATGATTAATATTTCTTGTAGTCAGTCTGTCCATTTGAAGGAAGTTTTCGTATGTTACAGTTTTGAGAGACATAATTAGATTCATTCCACTTGAATCTAGTGAGACTTTAAGAAAATCTTTTGGTCCTCAGATTCTAATCTTAATCTCCTTTTCACTACTGATTAAAATTACTGTTTATGGCCCACTTTTATTTATTTTATAACAAGAAAATCCAGTTTCATGTAAGAAGAATAAATTTAAAGTAGCTTTAAATGGTACTTTCATGCACACGCCTTTTATTATGTTGATGAATTCCCGCAGTTTAAAAAGGACTCATTATTGTGCCGATATAATATAAATTATCTTTATTGACAAAATCTGCTTTATAGCTGTGGATTCAATGTAACATTTTAATTATTTTATGCCTAACTTTGTCATTTATAAAACTTAATTAACATTTCAAATTGTAATCATCTGTACTTTGACTTTTTCCACAGCCTATAGTCAGTCTTAAAACCCTTCATACCATGTAGTACTATAACACAGAAGTTGAATAAATCAACCACTTTTACCGCCATTATTGTGATAATAATTGTTATTGTTTGCATCCCCAGGGTTCTTCTGCAGATGAGTTTTTGAATTTGACAAGAAATGGCTTATACTGTCATTTTGGTGGACATGACAAAATGGCACATAACATGAGTAATGAAGGGATGTCAACGAGTATTTATGACACTTGTCACCAGGTAAGATTGGTTTATAGTTCCTACTCCTGAATAGGCTTAACAGAAAGTATCATTTTGTCTGTGTTTGACACTTGTAATCATCACCATAATTGAACTATACTTTGTGCCTTGCCAGCTCAGTGTGGCCTGTTCCCTTTGGGTTATCCAGAACAAATTCTGCATGTCCCCCTAGCCCCAGTGCACACCCATCTCATTTTTGGTCTATTTACTCTAATTGTATTTGGTAAATTGTAAAAGTTGTGATGCTCCTCATTTATGAACTTTTTTTCATTTATTCTGTTGCTTCATTGTTCATGAGCCCCAATATTCTACCAGGGCTTAAGACTTCTGACACATGACACAGTGCAATGGACACATTCAACCATCGGGCAGCAGGATTTCTTGTTATGTAGTCTCTCTCCAAGATTCATAGCACACATCTCACTTACTGAGAAAATGTAAATGTAGAAACATTTTTCATTGTATATAACATCTTATTCATTTTTCCAGACTTTCAACTAAAAGTGCTAGGATAGGAGCCATAATTCAGCTCTAAGCTGTTACCTTAAAAATGCTGTTCTTCTGCATGTACACATTTCTTCCAGTATTTGTAAAGTTCTCTGAAACATTTCTCGAGATAACCGTGTGCATCCTTCCACAGCATTGTCTTTGAAGCCACATCAATTTCTGTTGCATTCTTCATCCGTGGGAAGAGATACAAGATGCAATTTTGCTATGCTTAAGGGCAATTTCCGCTGCTTTGCAAGTCAAAAAAGACTTCACCATTGCCTTCCCTTTCTATCAGTCCCTTTGTGGCCCTTGGTAACTGTGGCGACGTCTACATGGAAGATTGCCATTTATTTGGAAATTGTACAGAAAGAACAGGTTTTGTTACATTTGATGATCTTTCTGGGAAGGTCCTGCTGCCTTGATTTCACTTTTCATTTTATGTAGTTTTTGCATTGGTCCTGTATCAGTATTTCTGGTATAATGTGTCAAAAGGCATAATGCATCTTCAGATTTTTACTGAAGATGGCAAGACTCATACCAACTGCAATTTTTGCCTAATCTTCAGTTGTCTCTACTGTTTGATGATGATTAGAGATTAAACCTGTGAGACCACTCACACTTCTTGTAATGGGAAACTTTTTTCATTATACACCACCCAAATAATATTCATTGTTTCTGTGCCAGTTTTTCTAGTGCAATATTTGGTGACATTTTATATTAGCCTGCTTTAACCTTTGTCAACCATGCGTCACTGCTTACCCATGATCCAACAGACCTTGCATCACACTAGCATAATACTAAATCATTAATCCCAGATTTAAATTTTGGCTGGCAGCCACATAATATCAGGTCTTAAATGTTCTGTTACCCCATGAAACCTCTTTGTCCCCTGGTTTCTAAACTTTCCATGTACTGCATTGCCTATGGAATGTGTCGTATTAGTAGTTTTGTTAGGTGTGCAAGTGGGCTTGCAAACAGGCTCCACCCTATATGCCACAGTGTCACTGTATTTCTTTCTGTCCTTGGATGGAAATTGGAAACATGCTACGTAAGTGTTGTTAATTTGTGTGTGCACTGATTTTACGTTTTAATGACAACCCGAGTTGAACACAGTGGTTCTCCGTATTGTTGTACCAAGTGATTTTGGTCATGTGCCAACATTCTGAACGAACATGCTGCAGTCGTCTCCTGCTTCAGCCCAGATGATGGAAGCAGCATGTTCCTCTGAAATTCTGACACAACCAAAACACTAACCAGCAAAACAACTGAGAACTTCACCCTCTTAACTTGTATTTGAATGTTTTCATCATAAGTGTAATTTATTTCTGTTTCTGTGACAGGTAGCGATCTATGCATGGCCATTTCTCTTCGCATATATACTTTTCGTGCTGTCATCAGTTCAGTTCCTCATAATGACTGAGTCAGCTGTTTTCACGGTGGCCGTGAGCACCATCGCTCTCCCACTTGCTGGAATATGGTGGTCTCTATTCCGTATGACAGCATCAACCCCAGGTAAGGGCCGTTTGAAGCAAAGTGCTCAGGAATTTTGTTGGACAATCTGATCTTGTGGTGGGTGTCTGCTTTATGATAACTGGAAACGTTAAATTATAAGAGGATTATTCAATGAGTGTATGTTTCTGTAATACAGACATGCTGTATAGGATAAGGGATGCTGTTATTGGAAAGCTCCTTTTTTGGTAGTGTGCACATTGCCAGTGATGCCATATAACAAACGGGAGAAGAGGAGTGGAGAGATCAATGAAGTTCATTCTGTTGTTAGGAGTCTAAATGGTTCACAGAAACAAGCAGTCATAAACCATTTATCAAAATAACAGGAATTTTAGCTGTATGCTGCATTTATGGAATTTTGGTTGAAATGTATTATTATAATTAATCACAGTGTGTTCATACAGTTATTTCTGGGGCTACTATTTCCATTGATTTACTGTTGAGAACAAGACAGTGACCATTAAAATGCTGTTTTGCCAGTAACTGAGGAATTGGGATTTTATGCCACATAGTCCGGTAGATACTTGGTTAAGAAAGCAGAGAGATGTAACAGGAAAGCAAAGATTAGAAGAAGCCAAAGAGCAAATGCACGTTAAGAGTGGAGCAAAGTTCAGAAATAACGAGAGGCAAACTGGACTGGAATGAATAGAAACAAATGCAAAGAAACAAGGATTGGTATATAGAAAATAAAGTGGACTAGAGAGGCTAAGATGAACATAAGGTAGAAACAGAGAAAAGGAGAAATAATAGATATTAAACTATCACAAGAAATCAAAGAGAAACTACTATAAGATTGCCATAGTTAAGACTGCATAAAAACTGTATTTTTACTTTATTTTGTAAGAAATCTCTCGCTGGTTTATGTTAGAAAGTTAACTTTTAATTTTTACGTAATTTGGCAGTTGACTGTGAGTTCCACTAGCAATATTATATTTGTAAGATCTTTTGAATGAGAAATAGTGACATACATTTGTAATGGAATTCCATTTCTTCCATTCCAATGCAGGTAGGGGTTTGAATTACTTTTACCGTCTTCGCCGCGTCCTGTACCCACTACCGTGAGCCCCTGAGGTTTGCCCTTCTTCTAACCCTATATAACCTGTCTATCCTCTTTCTAGCTCCACTAGTTCAAACTTTGGGATCTTACCTACTCGTAAGCCTAAATGGCATCACAACCCAGAAGAAAGACCTTGTCAGAGCTGAAGAATTTCAGTTTGTTTAATTACTCCTAAATTAATAGGCCGAGTCACACTGTGATGGACAGAGTATTTTTTGGGATGTGTAGAGGACATATATCTGTGCTCAAGGGTTAGTGAACTGCATAGACCTTTCAGATTTTAAAATCTGCTGCATTTGAAGTTGATTTGTTTGTGGAACTTGTGTTTTCATTTTCTGATTATGACATTCCTTTGCGGTACCACCATTTGGGAGAAATTAACAGTCTCTGTCTTCAGGACAAAGTGACTAACAGGTGTAGTCTACATATTTATAATACTAGACCATGAAGTTGTTGAAAATTTGTGGTTTGTTTACATATCTTGTCATGTATCAGTTAGAACATATGAATTTTAAGATGAAGATGAGGATTAGATCTGTTAATCACCTCACCCCAAAGATGGGGCTGTTGGTTTATTTTAAATGCCCAGTATGTGACATTGTTGTTATTGAAGATTGAATGTACCACCACAAAATTTCTATGATTATGAATACTTTGTAGGTTTGTTGGAGTGGTTTCCTGCGGCGACTGGTGGACTTGTCTGCTCGGTGTTTGGCCTTCTCATCGTACTGTCAGGGATGGTGCTGTTATGTAAAGCACACTTCAAGGAGTTCAGATGTGGGTAGGTTGTAGTGACCTGCCTAAGGCATCAAGAGCAGTAAGTGCAGGCGCAGACTGGAGATCGGCAGTTACCGGCTTACCCGGTGTCTTACGTGAGCGATTAAATGTGAGCGGTGCGTGTTGCGTGGGTGAAGCAGAAATATCAAACTGACTGTTTGTATGGCGCTGTCCTAGGTTACAGCGAATCAGTCAAGAGAGTAAAGCGGCCGGATTCCGAGATCAAATATTTTGATATTTTCGCGCAGGTCGCTGCGCTGACCAGTAAGGCGCATGCGCAAGAAAGCTCTGCCTGTGCAGTACACGGAAGGGGCATGCGCAGGAAGGCCGTGTGTTTCTCTTACGTAGGACACAAGTGATTCCCTTATGTCATATGACACCCCATGCTGCTTATGCAGCTTGCACAGCTCGCTTCTTATCGCTTACCTAGGACATTGCCTTAGAGTTGCCTCGGCACATAACTGTGAAGGAAACATTAGTTTACAAAAATTTTAGGTGCCGCTGCATGTATGAGGATTTAATGTCTTGGACTTAATTTTGTCCGTTGAACTTGGGAGTAACGCAATATCCTTGTTCCCACAGCCATTGCATTATTATGCTGGTAAAAAATTCAAAGATAAAATTAAGCCCTAATTATGTTATGTTACATATAATGATAAATGTATATTACAATGGAAGTATTGTAGATAGTAAATTATAGAATTTCTGATTTGACAGATGTATTTAGTTGAAAGGGTCCAAGAAGTATCACACTTTGTTATGAACCTTCAAGCACTGCAAATTTTGTCATTTATAGCAGTAGTATGTCAGGCAAAACTGTCAAAGAAGGTGATTAGCTAATATAGTTACTTCATTAACAGAGTGACTTAAAAGCTGTATAACCTATAAATGAAATAGTAATTATTTTAATTGTACAAAGTTTTTTGCAATGAACACATTCCATAAAGATAGTCAGAGTGACATCCTGTTTACAGCAGTTGGTCATTCAGGATTGATCCTTGTTTTTGATGGACCATCCCCATTGATTTGTGAGACTTTACATTGCTGCAAGTTTATTTGGAACTGGACAGTCCAGAATGGCTCCCCTGTATGCATTCAAATAAACTAATTATGATCAGTGCTTAAACATGTGGGTAGACAGACTTACTGCAGGAAAAGAGCGGATTCATATTTATTTGTACATGATCAGTTAGTAAAGGATTTGATGAATTAGTTTACAAAAATTTTAGGTGCCGCTGCATGTATGAGGATTTAATGTCTTGGACTTAATTTTGTCCGTTGAACTTGGGAGTAACGCAATATCCTTGTTCCCACAGCCATTGCATTATTATGCTGGTAAAAAATTCAAAGATAAAATTAAGCCCTAATTATGTTATGTTACATATAATGATAAATGTATATTACAATGGAAGTATTGTAGATAGTAAATTATAGAATTTCTGATTTGACAGATGTATTTAGTTGAAAGGGTCCAAGAAGTATCACACTTTGTTATGAACCTTCAAGCACTGCAAATTTTGTCATTTATAGCAGTAGTATGTCAGGCAAAACTGTCAAAGAAGGTGATTAGCTAATATAGTTACTTCATTAACAGAGTGACTTAAAAGCTGTATAACCTATAAATGAAATAGTAATTATTTTAATTGTACAAAGTTTTTTGCAATGAACACATTCCATAAAGATAGTCAGAGTGACATCCTGTTTACAGCAGTTGGTCATTCAGGATTGATCCTTGTTTTTGATGGACCATCCCCATTGATTTGTGAGACTTTACATTGCTGCAAGTTTATTTGGAACTGGACAGTCCAGAATGGCTCCCCTGTATGCATTCAAATAAACTAATTATGATCAGTGCTTAAACATGTGGGTAGACAGACTTACTGCAGGAAAAGAGCGGATTCATATTTATTTGTACATGATCAGTTAGTAAAGGATTTGATGAATTGGGTTCTGTGGATTCGTTTTGAAGTGCTTATAGGGCCAGGCTTTATGTCCTCTGGGTCGGACAGTTGAGGGTTTGGGGAGCGCACACTGCTGTGTAAAAACCATGTAGTAGCATTCGTCCAAATACAATCCAATAATCTAAAACTAAAGCCAAAAGCCTTATACAATAATGTACCATTTCAAATAGAATTGAGTAGTAATTTAATAGCTCTTAAGATTATATAAACTCCTACAAATCCTGACGCATAAGTACCAAAGCTGCCAAAAACACCCCACACTGTTTTATCACATTGTTTGAGATAGCAGAGAAGTCTCGAGTTGTCCGAATCCAACACCTTGTTGGACTACGTGCTGACCTATGTAACCTCGGCTAATCACATCTAACACAGCTTCTCGTTCTCCAGTGAACATCAACAAAGATTCAAGTTTGGATAGATCTTCAGGATTGTAAATACCTTTAATGGCCAAGTTCTTCGACTCTATATAGGTCCATCGTGGGTGTACCTCGGGAGTTAATGTAACAGGTTCGAACCATTAGAAATGTATATAAATATAAATTTACCTGGTGTAATTGACAAACAAGATTCTTAAAATGCTATTAGGAAGTTGGGATCTTTAGAGGAAGTCGTAAATTGTGCACTTTTTTTAGTAATATCAAAAATGTTAGTTCTGGCTAGATGGAAGATGAAATAATGAAAATTAAGACATGGAATAAAACGTGAACAAGTTTAATACAAATGACAACTTTCGTAAAGCCAGCTTGGCAGTGCTTCTTACGAGCAGAGATTTCAGGTTCTTGCGATGACTGTCTTTTGTGTTGTTGCGTCATGCTGTCTGCCTCCATTATCAGGGTGATGAGTCATCCTGAAGTTGGAGATAGCAAGCATCAGTAAACTTCTTCCAGACTACACGGTGCAACATCCCAGAAGACAGTCGTCTTCCTACTTCCTCATTCACTGTCTCGCACAGTGTAATCTGGCTCTCTCCCTTTTTTTTATTCAAGTATATTACTTTACTTTGCTGACTGCCATGACAAATATTCCATGCAGTGCTTGGTTCATCTGCTTAACCTTAATGTGATACTAGCAACAGTAGAGTAACTGTGTACATTCTTGCATTAGTATCAATAATCCTTATTGTTAAAATGACCAATGATATAATCAAGCCAAACGTCCAGTGTACTGTTTATGTATTAATTTGTGCCAAAACCAGCTGTTGCATTTAGTTAGCGACTTTATGTTGTATTATGTGCCAAGGAACTTGTATACACATATATTTGTAAGACTTTATTGTTACATGTTTGAGAAGCTTTGGTCATAAGTATCGTATCGGCGACAGGGCACTGATCTCAGTTTGTGTGTTTTGGACACGCTGCCCTTCTTACTTCCAGTCCTGTCAGTATTACAACTAATTCCCTGGTTTTTGGTCTGTTTGGCCGCGGAACATAGTCACATAGATCATTGTCGTCAGAGAGTTACCAGATTCTGTTTTCAACCAACTTGTGGTGGGAATTTCAAACATACTTGTTTAAAACTTCTCATACGATGGCAGACAGGATGTGTGGATGATGGTGTTAATGTTTTATCATATGGGAATAGGGGATTTATATCCCTGTATTACAGGGATGCTAGTCAGACTTTGTCTTCAGGGTTAATGGTATGCTTTGTGATGAATGGCGAGTTGTGTGATGCCTAATGTGGATTATGTAGACAGTTTAATGTTCAGGAATATAATATTCAGCACTCTGATAACTTGAATGTACACATGTCAAGTTGAGTTGGTAAATAACCTACTTTATGATGCCGAGTGGTTCGAAGGTGAAGGTTTAACAAATGGCTGCTGTTTTAAGCTTCACAAGAAGAAACTTCCTACTTACAGAATTAACAGACTGTGCTAATTGACGGCTGAAGGCTTTTGCATGTGGGTGCTCCATTCTTTTACCCTGTCTCATTAAAATCATTTAATACTATGCGATGAATGGCCAAATCATTTTAGTTGCTGCAGTAATACACATGCACAGCGTAACATATGAGAGGGGTGGCTTATAGCGAGAGATAGCGTAAAATTTTGTTCTTAATGCGTTACTTTTATTATGAATTATTAGTGTCAAGGTACAATAGTACTTTGGTTTAGACGTAATATTTTCCAAAGTAGGATTTGAGGTACTCGTGGCAGTGAGTATGAAGATGGCTGTCTTTTGGGTTGTGTTGCCTTGTAGTCTGGTAGAAGTTTACCAACATTTAAGAGGTACTTGCAGCCTCAATCATCAGGCTGATGAGTCTTAGACTACATGGTTCTACAACCCAGAAGACACCAATCTTAATATTTTTTTCTATTTTTTTTTTACTCTAATTTGGAGTATTAATACTGCAATATGTAGGAGGAATATCAATGAATTTAAACCAGTCCCATGAGTTTTCTTTCTTCAGTTTGAAATTATATATTATTATGAATATTAATATTCATTCCAAAGAATGCTTATAGTTTTGGACCTTACCTGAAGAATGTTAAAGAAAGAACAAATTCTACTGCCTTTCTGCAGTCTTTGTACTCTCACTTTCACTGAGATAACCTACTAAACATTAAACTGTCACAAAAGTCAACTAGAATGTAAAAATATCCATACATTTCAGCTAATAAAATTAAGAATTTTGTTTAAGTTTTCATATTCTCATCTTTTTACAGAGTTATTCCTCATAATTTTCGTCTTGTACCAGTGGTTTTTGATTGTGGCACTTTCTGTACTAGGTGTGATGTTCTTCATAATCAGTGTCATTATTACTATAATAATAATACATTATTTTATTACATTTATTTTATCTAGACTGAATCTTTTATCACCATTCCAGGCAGCAGCATCTTGATAACCTGTTTCCTTATTAATGTAATTAAAAAGCAAAATTAGTTGTTCTTCCATATTTCATTCTGTCAGTGTATGGATACATGCTAGAATAACTTGCTCAAAGTGTATTCCATACCGGAATGCACGTAATATCCTCGTGTGTTCTTTGCAATGTGCATTTAAAGGTATTAAATCCACCATGTTTGATAGTACCGACTTGCAACCAGATTACAGCACCTGCGTCTACCTCACGATTTTCCTCATCCGTCATTTTGTTATCACCACTCAGGATATTGGAAGCTACAATTTTGAAGTCGTGCAGAATAGCACAACCTTCACATCAAATTTCATTCAGATCTATCCAGTAGTTCTGAAGTTGAATCGACTGGGCAGAAGGACGGACGGACGGACGGAATGTCCGGCCCATAATGTTCTCTCACCATGCACTTTGTGCAAAGAATACATAACAAGTATTATATTTTGCTAATGGATATTGCTTGTAAATAGATTTTCTTTTTTTGTCTATATTGTTTGTATTTCATATTGTACATTTGACCATGTTTCTGTTTTATTAATGTTACTTCTTAATCTTTTATGTAATTTGTTCTCGTGCTGTTGTTTGTACCGCATTGTGTGTGGCTGTTGTTTGTACCGCATTGTGTGTGGCTGTTGTCAAGCATAAGAATAAATGAATTTAATTCAATTTCTGTCAGATGCAATGCATCTTATATATTCTCTTAATGTATGAACGCAACATCAGTTACATATTTTATGACCTACGCTGTGTCATAAAGCTGGCAAGATGATTGGAATGATGTTGAGACATAGGAAGCATTAGCTTGGCGGCACTGGGGAGAAGCCATTAAGAACCACAGTCAAGACGGACCGTATTCTCTTTGGAATTTAGATGAGGTGTCCAAGAATGCAAGCTGACTGCTGTGTTACTGAGTAAATAAATGTACAGGGTGATCAGAGAGTCTCATATCAAAACATTTATTGAGTATTAAAATTCAGTACAGGTTGATTGAATTAATAAAGCTCATATATTGCAAACTGTTTGCACCAGTCTGTCAGTTGTCTTGAAACAGTCAAAGTCCAAGATGTCTTTTTCACAAGTGCAGCGAGTGTTTATTGTCGAACACTACCTGACATCTAGTTTTCAATGAACTTTGCCTCAGTGACTTTAGGAACATGTTACCTGATTCTACTGCGCCAAACAAGTAAACAGTAGCTCGTCTGGAGAACCGTTTCCCAGACAGGACTCTTTGCTGGATTGCACAGACATGAAAAGATTGAATGCGTGCGTCGCTGAATGCAGTGGATATTTCAAGCACTTAAATATAACATTGTTATTTGTTTTCTGATTGTGCACTAATCAAATATGTGGAAATGGCGTGGATCAACAAAATCACAAAGAACACAATATCTGTAAATGTATATATTAGAATAACAAAGAAGATACAAAACAGACAATACAAAAATAAACACCGGAGCGACATCCGCTGCATAGGGCAAAAGAGCCACAGCTTCGTAAAGAAAATACAACTTACTGTGGGCGTCCGCACCGGCGGACCACCTGCACAGGGCTTACACCCCAAAGCCGAACCAAATTTTGATGAAGAAAGCCAAACTAGAATTTCCAAGATGTAGAGGACAACTGAGCATGGCCATCAGGTATGAATATAAGTGAGTGTCAAAATGTTAGAAGATTTTAGACTTTGGATAATTTTAAAACTGCGAAAGCTTAAAAATTTGCAGTTTTTAATATTTAAAATGTTTACATTTCAAAATTTTGAGGCTTTTAAGGAATTACGATTTTTAGGTTCTGAGTGTATTTTGAATGTTCGACGACTGTGAGAAGAGTGACTCTACGTATAAACTGATGCATATATCTTACATGTCTGTGACCAGGTGACAAGAATATTTGCATCCGCCTGACATCTCGTGCTATTCCCAGTAAAGCTCATGTAATCGCAGGAATACCGGATTACGATTCGATACGGTACAATTTGTAACTTTGGTAATTTGTTGTTGTTTAGTTTGCGTCCGTGTTTCAGTGCAGTTGCTTCCAGTCGTGCAATGCAAAATTTAGTTTGTATTAGTATAGCGCAGTGTGGTGTTGGTTTTTATAGTTTGCGGATTTAATCGTATCAGAATTTACAGATTATGTTTAATATTGATCCAATGTAGTCCGAAAAAGTCGGTGGCCATTGAAACGGTCGGTAATTACGGATGGTTGTGTTAGGTACTCAGAAAACTGTCGTGTTAATACAGTGCAATTTTGGTGACAGTGGAATGGGTGATGTATGAACGCTACTTAGATTTTAAGTGTGAACCTGTCTCTTTAAGGGCCACTGTAAGCAATTTCAATTAGTTCAATATTCTACTCAGTGACCTGTTTTATAAATTAGAACTATTATAAATTCACTGCTGATTGTGAAATACGTCATCATAGTAGGATTAACGTCAAGTTTTAGTCACGTAAGACCCAAGAATATCGTTTTAATGCCTGCATTAATAGTGTAGACTAAATTCATTTTACATTAAATGCATTATCCAATAATGTATGACGCCAAAACGCACTCGTGGGTTACGAAACCATAAGCATTACTTTAATCTACACGATAACGTGATATAACTTAACTAAAACATCGATCGTGTCATTTTGTATTAGCCATATCTCATGTCGGTTTCCGATGTGCGCTGAACATTTACTATTAATGAGTTTGCTGCTTATATGACGATCGCCATTTAAATTGAACTTAAAACCGATTACTGCCTTCGTGCACTTTTGACGCAGCACAGTTATTATGACTTCGATATATAATCGTATTAGACATTGCTTTACAGTTAATCGTATTCCACTATTTAATCAAGAGCTGATATGGCTGTACTTGATTTTTAATTTTTATAAACTGATTCGTGCAAACAAAAATGGAGCAAAGGGCTGTACACTCGGCCTAGACGTACCTTGTGCATGGGCCTGTATGCAACGCTTTAGAACATAATCCTATACGTGAGATGGCCTCCGCGTCGCTCATTTATTCAAGGGTAAGTGGCTTATAAATTTCATATTCAAGTTTCTTTCATATTTAAATAATAATAATTCAGCATTTCAGATTTTTCAGTTACGTATTTAGCCTAGTTTGAATGTACCAGGAAGAAAATATATTTATTGCTGCTGAGAATTATCCTCAACGAGCACCGTAATTCATTTCATGTTTCTTGCTTTATATTTTATATTCACGTTTCTATTATCTAATGCAACTCGTAGTTGGAAATTTTTTAGTTTGTGGAAGGATTTAATTTTATTTATGTAATAAGTACAAATTTGTTGTTTTCCGTCAGTCGACGTTGTGAATCGTGTGATTTTCGGTGCTGGCCACATGATGTACGCGTTTTTCCATGTAATATCGCGAAATTAATTTCCTCGTAAGGGCTGATCCGAGTTTTGTTTCCACATTCAGTCGGATTAAAATATGTAAGTTACGTTGTTGACTTTGTGCTCGGTAATTTGTATCGTGTGTATCTTCGCATTTTAACAACGGTTTATTTTTTCACGTTATGATTCCTCGTATAACGCCGACCGCAACGGAATTGTTAATTTATTTAAACAGACTGTTTAATAAATTAACCTAGTTCCTTCGTAATCTGATTATTTCAGACAGATTCCATTGTAAGATTTGAGGTTTTCACTGCGGTGAGTATGAAGATTTCTGTCTTCTGGGTTGTTATTTATGATGCGACGTGAAAACAATCATTTAACTTTCTGTGATATTCTTTTTATTGAAGGTCCTGCATCAAATATACATAGAAACAAGTGTAGTTTGATAAGCTAACAACTTAATCTACGTGCTCTTTACACCATATGTGTGAGGGGCGGTACTCAACTGCCATCAGTTGCATCAAATATTATGCTGAATGGACTCACTCTGAATAGAAACGGAGCTTAGCCGTCTGAATTCTCATTGAGATTTAATCGCAGTCTCCTTAATCTATTAGCATTCCCCATTAATATTTATGGTTCATTTACGACACTATCAATAGCTCAGACTATATAGCGTGCAGTGATGGGATGATTAGTAAACAATTAAATTGATACTATGGACGTACGTACGAATGTATGCATGCAGTACGCTGTGTACAATAGAAGCTCATTTGAAACCTACTTTAATGCAAATGAAGAAATGTTGGAGAAAGCGAATGATAATGAAGTTTCTGAACAAATCCTAAAGAATATCAGCTCTTATTACGTAATGAATTTGAAAATATGAGAAGGAAGCAGCGGTTGTGGAAATTGTCCTTGAGTGACTGAAGAAAACTTCGGAGGATCTCAAATCAGAATTTGGGGCTCCGGGCCGAGATTTGAACCCGCGAACGAGCAGGGATGCCAATTACTGGACTACGAATTTCTACATGATTTTGTGTCAGTATCAAATAGCCGATTGGATTGATTCATGGGTTATTTTACGATGATGTTCCAAACACATGTAGCAGGGAATGAGAGTAACAAAATCATAATTATTGAATAGGTGAGGATTTACAGGGCTGCGGACTTGAGCCGTCATTTGTCTGGAGACACTGGAAAACTGCGAGAAATTCTTTGACGGGCTTTGAAACGAGTACTACTCAAATAGAAGTTTAAACTCAAGACTAAAGCGTTACAGTTACGTCATCAGTCTCGTCTAGAAGTTGATGCTGCCGTCTGTACGTCGGGCCAACCACCCGGCGCGTAGTTTAAGCTGGTTCTTAAAAAGAATCGCAGTAAAGCCACTTCCAGCCGGCCTTCCTCGGAAGTGGCACAAACCCTGGGGCCGTCCGCATGGTGTGGACGGACGATCTGCGGCGTGGCCATCTTGCGTGTCACGCCGCGGAGAGGGTACATGGCACGGATGCACCCGCGAGACTATTTGAACCATCTGCGAAGGAAAGGCTTCGACTCCGAACCGCAAAATCCAGGTGCAGCTACACCGCCAGTACAAACGGAAGAAATTATCGCACCACGTCCTACAGCTGCAACTGGCGATGTCACAGCTGCTTGAAATGTTCCCACGAGATCTACCATAGTCCTGAGCTGGACTGCGTAAAAACGCTCGTTCAGAAGTTCCGACAGGAAAGAAAATGTCATCGGAGTGAGATCTGGTGACCGGGGAGGCCATGTAATAGGCCCTGAAACGTAACCTGGATAATTCGGATTCAACCACTTTCGGACATCTTTCGCACAGTGCGATGTTGTTTTAAATTTTCGGTTTATTCTTTTGACAAGGGATCACACTATGGAGAGCTTGTGCACTCCGTTTATAAGTGTGTGTGTCTGGAAGTTAGACTGGTGTTAACTAGTTGCCATGGATACGAGAACATAATTATATTCTTATTCTGAAAGTCGATGCACTATTAGAAACCAGTATCTGGTATGCGTATGAGCCTATTATTTATAGTGCTCAATCTGATAGTATTGAATTTTTAAACACACTTGTGCGAAACGCAGTGAATTTTTTTTTTAAATATTATGCTTGGCATTGTCCATTTTCTGAGGTATATTTTGATATAATTAAACTCTCGATTTAACGGACTAATATGGGGAATATGACGCAATTAAATTTCGAGTTGAATAAAAGATTAATAATAATTATAATTTAACAAAACCATAGACTTTTAGTTTACAGCTTTTTTATTGTACTATTTGTTCTTATTGTTATGACTAACGTAAGATATCATACTCGGCAACATAATAGTTTCAACACCATAATAAAAATCGAATGTTGCAAGAAGGCACTTAATTAGTGTTAATTATATTGTTTAATGTGTGGAAGAAAACTGTAAGTATGTACAGGTGTAGTGTTCATATGCATATGTTGATCCTGTGTATATGCAGAGCCCGGTTTGTGTTCTGTTTGCATGGTACACAGGATATACAAGTTTACAAACACCTGTCCATTTTACTGTGAATTCCAGCTTATAGTAAGTTAGGTTAGGTCTGAGTAAACCTTAGATGTAATTAAAAATATAGATTCGACGTGATGTCTTATAAGTAACAGATGAAATTTAACATTATTGTCATTATCCATGCCTTCAACTACATCAAATCGTCTCGTCACTATTGAAATTTAAGATTCTATAATATTTTAAGCGACAAAATGAAAGTTTTTAAAGTCCTCGACATATATTCTGTAGCTAAACCCTTGTATTATCTGTCTAAATTACTAGGCTTGGCACCGTTTGTCATTGAAGGAAAGTCTGAATCCAGAAGGTTAAGATTGTCATGCGTCACTTTTCTGTACAGTCTTTTCATGTTGATAACGCTGGTAGCACGCCAACTGCTATTTGTACGGGATTTGTACACTATCGATAATGTTGAATCAGTACTTCAGACTGCTTCAGCCATTGAGGAAATTACAAGTAATGTTGCTGTATGTGTTTTCTTCTTGTTGAACCTTATAAACCGACGTAAAGTTTACCAGATTTTCTTTAAACTTGCAACTTTGGATAAAATTCTGGGTGGCATGTGCGCTACATACAAGCAATCACTACTAAGTGTCATTGGTCAGATGTGTTTTCACTTTATATTTCTCGGTTCACTTGGCATTATAAGTGTCAGCAACGGGGGGTTTAACGTTTATGGAGATTTGTTTCGATTTATTTCCATCGGTAGCAATTTTCTGGTTGTTCTTGTGGTAGACCTTGAGATTACGAATTTGGTTTTTACGTTGAAACAACGTTTCTGTATTGTGAACAGTCGCTTTAGTGAGTGCATAGGCAAAACTAACTTCGAAATTCCAAATCCGAAGCGATGGGATAATACATCGATACTTTATATGGATAATTCTGTTCCAAAGTTTATTCACGTAAAGTCGTCTTTACTCAAACTGAAAAATCTCACAGACCTGCACGATTTCCTCTGCGATGTATCTGCGCTAGTAAATTCGACATATTCAGTTCACATGTTGTTCGACGTTATGCTGAAGTTTGTTGCTATTATATTCAATGTTTATTTTCGACTTCTGCGAGTATTAAATTACGACAGAGGCAGATATGAAGATAATGTGTATGAAGGAATAATGGCGGCTGTGTTGTCCTGGAATGTACTGCAGCTAACAGCACTTGTGTGGGCCTGCCAATCCGCGTCCGAAGAGGTAAGTCTGTCTGCAACAACGAAGTGAAAGTACTTTTCAGTGAAAGCTGAACCACAACGTCAAAGCAGGGGTCGGAATTACCGCGGGCTGCAGTGGTTATTCCAAACTTTGTTGAAATTAATATCCTTGGCACTAAGCGAAATTGTATTTTTATAAATTTAAGA